TGACACTTTCTTTTCACAAATCTTCTGTTACTTTTGCTTCTTTGTTCCAGCTTTCAGACCCAGTGGGGGGGACAAACCCAGATAAATCTCTCCGAAGGATCCACTGCCGATCTTCCGGCCGAGTCGAAACTTATTGGCCACTCGAGGCTCCATCACTGAATGATTAAAACAAAAAATTCTAGCTCTCTGTGCAGCTTGTTTGCTCTGAATTTACAAGTGTTTTTATACAGGAGAAGGGGGCAAAAAAGAAGAAACCCTAAACAAAATTGAATAGGGGCAAAAAGAAAGGGAAAATTGTTGACCGTACAAGGGAAGCGTTGATTGAGGTTTATTGATTAGCGGGAATCAACGGCAAGGTGGGGAGTGGAATAAAAACGGAAACTTTCCCTCTCTCTTGAAGCAGATTTAAGAGAGAAAAAATGAAAAGAGTAAAGAAATCACTAGTCCCTACTTTGTTGATATACGACGTCGTTTTTCGATTTTTTTGTTCTTGTTTTTGTTTTTGCTTTATCATAAAGGATTGTGAAAAATCAATAACACTTACTAGTGGTTAAATGTGAAAAATGATAATAAAAAAATTTATATATTTTTAATAAATTAATATTTCATTAATAACAATTAAATAATTATATATATAATTTTGATAATGATTTTTATTTTCTTATTGTTATAATGAATTATACATTAAAATATTAAAACTAACTATATAAATAATTTAATAATAATTTTTTTAATAAAAATAAAAAAAATTCAAATTCAAATAATATAACATACAAAATAAAATAAATTAAAAAATAAAAAACATTATCTTTAATTATGCAATTTAAAATAAATAAAATATTAAATTAAAGAGAGCTATTCTTTTCTTTTTATCTCAATTCTTTTCATTATAAAAATATTCAATTCTATAATGCCATCCCATTCCATTCCTCTCACTAAAGAGCATCTCCTAAGGGAAAAAAGTTTCAAAAAGGAGCATGTGTGGTTTACCATAAAAATCCTAATTTCCTTAGCACACAAGCAAGTGTTATCCAGCAAATTATCTAGCTTCAATTACGCATTACACACTGGCCAAAAAAATTAATGCTTGTACCCAAACCAATCTCAGAGATAAAATAGTAAATATTAACTGTCTTTCCACAAGTTACGAATTCTCTTATATATATATATATATATTTATACTTTTAGGTAGTGTACATATAACAATACCTAGATTTCAGTATATATGAAGAATACCTTAGCCAACCTCTAAATGAAATGAACAAATGAATCGAAAAAGAGAAAAAAAAAGAAGCCTCAATTGAAAACTACAAATGGCCAAAAGAAAAATTACCTAACAATATTCAAGAAAGGAAACTGAAATAATGGGCATTGTTATGATATTGGGGACATCATATCATGCACTTGCTCTAGAGATGGTTGTTTCCTCTGCAACTTCACCCTTAATTGTCTGATCTTTGCATCCACACGTGCTAAGAACCCAAGATTGGTTTTCTGTCTTGCCTTAGAGCTCCCTAGTCCACATGCGTTTATCCTCAACGTCTTTTCTGTAGTACTTTGATTTCTTGGATTATATGGTGATCCATGTGGTGGAAACATCTCTGGAATGATATATGGGCGAGGTAGGGGAGATTACGAGCAACTGTTACTAAGAGGGTAGCTAGCCAATAGATGGGTGCGGAAGCAAGGGCTTCCACGAGAAGCTGGTGGGCATTACCAGCAATTGTGGGAGACAGCATGCCATATGTAAAGAGAAACAAATACCAAGTGACTATGCTGCCCCAGATGAAGAGGTGTTGGATCCATGTAAAGTGGCTCACAGTGAGTGCAATGCAGTTGAGGGCCCATATGATAGAGGTAAACATTGTAGTGCCCAAGGCAGCCATATCAGCAGTCTGTCCTCCCATGCGGAGAGCTTGATCATAGAAGATTATTATATTGAGGAAGAAAATTATGAGAGAGGAATAGAAACCATTGCCCATCCATCCAAATATCCTATACCAGTCAAAGAAAATTGTTGAATAGTTTTTAATGTTTAAGATCTCACGTAAAAAAAAGTATAAGAACTTAAAAAGGAGTTTATAAAGACTTATTTTTTATCAATAAATAATTAAATAAAATGAAATCCAAGGTAAATTAAGTCATACCCCTTTATATATAGTTAAAAGATGAGCACTCAGGATTTAACTACCAAAATATCATTAATTTTTTATTATTTTTGGATTATTTTATTAAATTAAAATTTGAAAAGACATATCTAAAAATCAAACATGTTTGAAAATCAAACATAATCATTGACAGTCAAAAGGTATTTCTATGAAATGATATCTTTCTGAAGAGATATATTCTTATAAATAGTGATTTTTCAGGTATTATAAATTCGTATGCAAAGTCAGAATTCTATATTTAATTCTAAAAGAGTTTTAAGTTTTATTGTATTTTGAAGAATTTTAAATCCCTAAAAAAAAAAGTAAAACCACGTCTCATAACAATTCTTTTATTCTTCTACCATTCATATTTTCTAACACAAATTCCTAGGCCCATGCTGATACAATGCGGGGAACTGCTAAAAAAGGGGGAATGTATAAACATTCTAATATAATACAAACAACCGAAAAGTGGATGAAATACTACCGAAGATCTGTTTTCATGCTAACCTGCAAGCAAACATCAGAAGGAACATCCCGTTCAAAAACTCCAAGTGAAATGACAGGGAACGAAGTAAGGACATTGAAGAATATCATGTACCAGTCATCATAAATTGACTGCCCAGAGAAACCAGTGAATGCCTCAAAGTAGAAGAGAGTAACACCAAACGCAATGTTCTTGTAAAAGAAATAGCATAACTGAATTCAATGTCAAAGTTGAAATGCTGATAAATCAGATAAGAATCAAAGCTAGATTTGAAGAACACACAACAAATGAGAAATGAGAGAAGATGAAACACTAATATGGATAATCCATAACTATTACCATCTGTGCAATCCTCTTGTAGCACCAGTGTCCATGGACAACCAGAAGCCTTTCCAAAAATCGAAATTGGGCAAGAGAGAAGTCACTGGCCATCACTGCCTGCAACAAGTATAAATCAATTAAGATTTCACTGACAGCACAAACCAGATATTTGCAAAAAAAGAAAGCATATTATCTATTTTGCCCTGTCTTGTAAAGATATACTGCTTCACTATGTAACCTAAAAATGGAAGTATCCATAAAAACTATCATCATATGTGGAACTAGATATCATCATTAGAGGAATTAGATGTAGGTCTAAATGTTTTAGAATGTCATGGCACCACAGGTTTCATATTTCATACCATGGTTGGGAGAAGCTACCACCCCCAAAAATATGAAGCACCACAAACAATTTCCATGAAACATTCATTTTAGATCAAAAACAGTTTTATTTGCCGCTACAATTGGACTAAATGCTATTGGAATAGCATTTAAGCAAAGAGGAGAAAACTGAAATACATCAACAGATGCATCATGCAGAAAGAGAGTGAAAAATCTGTTACTAACCTGCATACCTTCCATCCCACTGATGCCAACACCAATATCAGCTTCTTGAATCATTCCAACATCATTTGCACCATCACCTATTGCTAAGGTGGTTTTCCCAGTTCCTTGTTTAACTAATCGTGTTACCTAGGTCCAAAAAAGATCATATAAATGGAAGACAGACAGAAATCACAATCTAATGAATATCATCTATCTTAATCACTAGTGCCTTCTGTTTGGGAGACTTACGGCAGCATATTGATGCATTAAAATCACTCTAACAAGTATATTAATCACTCTAAGTAATATAATGATGAATAGAGTGTCAAATGCATGAGGATTGTATCTAATTAAGTACTAAAATAATTAATCTAAATTTATTTGAATAATCAATTAAGAAGAAACTTTGATTAAAAACAATAAAAAAATAACAATTAAAATAAACATAACCAAGATATAAGGTATTAAGACATTGATTTCACCATAATCAATCAATATAAATTCTGAATTAATATGTTTTCAAAACTTATTTATTGAGTGTTATTACATGTAATGGTGGATTTCCCTAAATTAATTAACTAATTTTCTCCAGTCAAGTTAATCCTTTATTTATTTGTTAAATTAATTATATTTTTATGTAATTTTAAACAAATTAATGAGTATTACATTTTATGAAAACCTCTAATTTAAGAAAGGGGAACTCCTAACTCTCTTCTCTTCATCCACTACCACATGTAATGCTAATTACCTCTTGATCTCATAGTTTAACACACGGTTTATATTATTGTTAGTTTAATTTACACAATTCTTTTTCAAGTTCATGCATAAATCACTAAATTAATCGAAAGGTAATCAAGTTTTCAATGCATTAAGTTTAATAATATAAGTTTATCATGTAAATAACTTTAATTAAAAGTATAAATATCACAAAATCCATATTGAATTGGCTACGCTACATTGTAACCTTAATAAAATAAATTAGTTCATAATAAATATAATAATATCTAAAATCACAATGATAAATATAAGGATATTCAGAAAAAATAAAACCCAATGTGAGGAAATCTAAATTTTTAAATTTTTTACTATTGATAGATCTTCAATCTTGACCTCCAAAAATACTCAAAAGAGGACTGTCACCAACCTCTACAAAGCTCCCTCAATTTTAAATTTGAATGGGTATTTATAAGATTTTAAAAAATCTAATTGGAATAGAAGTGAGACCCATACCCAAAATAATAAATTAAACACGAATTTTGTGAAAATTGCCCAAGGGGTCAACACTTTCAAAATAAGGTCTCGATACCTTCAATAAGGTGCCGACACCTTCTGTTCAGCGCACACCATCTCCCCTTCTTTTTCTTC